AACAAATGTACTTTGGCTGCTGTTGTAACATTGGGCTTGTATCCTAGCAACAGCAGCTGCACAGGGAACCTTACAAGATGGGAGTTCTAGAAGAAAAGAGTGGGTGATATAGGAGTGTTCTGTTCAATTAACCTGTCAGGGCTATGAGATAACCACCCCAGCAGCATTTCTGTGACACTGTGTGGGATCAGTAGAAAATGTAGAAGGCTCGCTCGCACGCCTTATTTTTGTGAGAATAGTCTGAAACTGCTGTTGAGAAATAAGAGGGATAGTAGGTCCTTTAAGTTCCACATAACAGTCCAAACAAAGTGAAGTAATGACTCCTCCCAACTAGGGCTGCAACAACTAATCGAGATAATGGATTATAATCGATGATTGAAGTTGTCAACTTTTTCAATCATCGATTAATCGGCTTCTGATTAGTTGGCCCTGACCCCATATTACCACAGTCCATGGTGCCCTACGTCTAGTCACAGAAATTGGAAGGTCAATGCTACTGATTATATGACATAGTGTTAAAATTGAAAGCGTCACTATAAATTTAAATTGGTACACCTCTTGAAGCCTTAAGGTCAATGAATGTGTTCTTCTAGTCAACAAATCTGCCTACTGTTTTCTATAATCAGTTATACTCTCTACAGGAAGATGGGGGGGGGGGGTTTTTGGAATGTCTAGGTAAGGTGCATTTATCTTCATCCAACAGGTTTGTTTGTTTTGTTTTTGATAGATAAGGGAAGGGTTAGAACATCTTTCAGGTTCTAATATGTCCCCAGTGGGAATTTACCTCCATTCCTGTCTTTGTGACAGGTGGTCACAGGAAGTGAATGGGATCTTATCCTCAATTAACCCACATATGTTGTGGCAGGTCTACTTTATGGACACATCAAGGTCTAAATAGACCACACATGTTTTCACTGTGTGAAGCAGATAGATATTGGAAACAAAAGGGAAATCTCTACAGGAAGATGGGGGGGGGTGTTTTTGGAATGTCTAGGTAAGGTGCATTTATCTTCATCCAACAGGTTTGTTTGTTTTGTTTTTGATAGATAAGGGAAGGGTTAGAACATCTTTCAGGTTCTAATATGTCCCCAGTGGGAATTTACCTCCATTCCTGTCTTTGTGACAGGTGGTCACAGGAAGTGAATGGGATCTTATCCTCAATTAACCCACATATGTTGTGGCAGGTCTACTTTATGGACACATCAAGGTCTAAATAGACCACACATGTTTTCACTGTGTGAAGCAGATAGATATTGGAAACAAAAGGGAACAGAGCGCCACCTCCATGTGTAAAATCGTTTATTACAATAAATAAAACAAGGGATAAAAGTACTCACAAACAAACGTTTTCATCAGGCTTTAACAACAAACGAGAGGCCACACTGTCTGTTAACCCAACATGGTATCCCCCTGACGATGTAACAAGATTGATCTTGGCTGACTGTGGACTGTGATCTGACCACAGGCTACCGTGTCACATAGTCGGGGGGATACCATGTTGGGTTAACAGACAGTGTGGCCTCTCGTTTGTTGTTAAAGCCTGATGAAAACGTTTGTTTGCGAGTACTTTTATTCCTTGTTTTATTTATTGTAATAAACGATTTTACACACGGAGGTGGCGCTCTGTTCCCTTTTGTTTTCTATGTTCGTGGTGGAAGCCCCAGAGCCTTGGATGAGCAGCCCCTCAAGCCTGTGTGAAAAATTGTGATAAACTGTTGAAAACTTTGAGTGTGCAACAGCAAGTGGATCGTTCAGCTGGCAGCCATTAGCGCCAAGAGTTAAAGGAAAAATTTAGTCAGATAGATATTGGAGACTAGAGTCCCCAAACTCCTTCCTCCGTGGGAGTAAACACTGTGCTGACATTGAACCTAGAATTCCCACCCACAAATTAATTGTTCACCCTATTTCCCTTGCAAAGAGATGTAGCTTTTCTTTTTCTTGTCTTCTCTCTTCTATCTCTTTTAAATCTACTCTAGTCTTTCATTTGTATTTATTACTACCTCCATCAGGTGATAGTTGTGCTAGAAACCACAACCACTCGCCTCTGACATACCCCCTCTGAGCCCTACTGCTGTGTGGGGATACCTTGGGTTGAGGTTTTATTTTGTTTTATTCTTTTGCCAATTCACTTATTTGCTGACCTATTTTATTTTGTTGTTCAGCTATATAACTGTTAATTTTGGATTGTTTTTTTCTGGGCAATTGCATATTCTTTGTTTCTTTGTGTTAACTAATTTTTCAATAAAACTCTTGTAAAACAGAGAGACAGAGCTGCCTGGCCTCTGACTGCCACTATATATACTCTGACATGTAGCATAATATATGATATACACAGCACTAAAACGGAAACACATCACATTGTAATGAACCACTGCACATCTGTAACATGATTTACCTTTATGGGCACAAGGTTACTGCTTCTATCATTGTCCAATGTTCAGTTTACATAAGACTTTGCACCTATATCACAATTCATATGTCTGAATTGATTGATTTGTGGTATGTTCCTAACATGGGCCTGAACTTTGTATGTTATTTACTCCATCCCAACAATGCTTTAGATGTGCTGCTTCTAGAGCTTCAATGTATGAGTTGCTGAGATGGCATTTACAGAAGCTTTACATCCATGGTTTTGGGAAAATTGCAGGTGATTAAACACATCATAGTTTAGGATAGTGCTAAAGTTCAGGTGTACCTTTTATAATAATAAAAAAAAAAAAACCTGTAGAGGTTCTCCCACCCCTCCCATCTATTGTACCTAAAAACAGACCTTAGATGCAGCATGGACCATGCACTGGGTAGTTTTTCAATCCTATTTTTCTTAAAGTGTCTGTGCTTTAGCCCAATTCACCTCTCCCATTTATCTCTATAGAGCTTGCAGTCAAGAAGAGAGCCAACTTGTTTCTCCTGTTCATCTCTGTAGAGCTCGCAGTCAACAGTAGAGCCAGCTCAGCTTTTACATTCATTTCTATTGCGCTTGCAATCAACAGGAGAGCCAACTTGGCTCTCCCATTCATCTCTATAGAACTTGCAGTCAACAGGAGAGCCAACTTGGCTTTTACATCCATCTCTATAAAACCTGTAGTCAACAGGAGGGTCAGTTTGGCTCTTCCATTCATGTCTATAGCTTGTATTCTTGCTTGCACACTGCAAAAAGAGGGTTCAGAAATAAATGGAATTAAGAAGTAGTGAGATGGGCATTCTAGAGCAGGTCCACGTCTTTGTGTACAATAGACAGGTGGAGGGTGGTGAACCCATAAAGGGTTTTTAGTACCTGCACAGGTGCACCTGCTCTTTAAGTATGTTTTTTTTAAATAAATATTTGGACATTTGTAATATTTTACTAAAAGTTCCATCATGTTTAGGTTTTATGTTAACATACAAATAAAGCATGCTTATAAATGGTAATTGATATCATTTTCATGGAAGAAAAGCAGGATTCAAATGTTTACTTTAGATCACATTTGACCATACTAAAATATAGTGCTAGGAGTATATATGTGTATTACCTGTAAGACAGTATGAGCTTTCCGGCAAGGATTTGCCATCTCCATGTTTGATGCTTTCAATTCTTCTTCCACCCCTGTCTCAGGAAGAGAATCTGCTTCCAAATTATCCTGAAAATGCAAACAGATATCATTTGAATGCCACATACCTTGCAGCTTTATTTATTATACTGTATATCTTATTTGATAAGAAATGTGTGATTAATAACTTATTGTAAAAAGAAAACTTGTAAAGTAACCAACAATAATCAATCACGGTCCTTCTTTTAGCTCTTTACAGTGGTCTGACTAAACAAATGCTGGTTCTCATCATTATTGTATACCATTACTTTTTGTGCTTTGATATTAAATCAGATCACTTGTACATTTGTATCGGGATCTGGATACATTCAATATTGTGACCTCTGTGTGTCACCTCTTGTTTCTTCTCATTTTATGTCTGGTCTGATCAGTTTGTTTATTCTTGTTTTTTTCTGTGTTGGCCCACATTGTATCTGCTCAGTTTTTGATTTGCCCTCCCCTCCATTACTCCTCAGTTGAGCAACCTCTGAGGGTGTATAAGGAAGCCAACTTCCTGAAGAGATTGATGGTACATTGTATGACATCCTGTTTAATCATATCTGCAATTCAGCCACTAGATTTACATATCCCATTTTGCTGTTACTATATTTAGTTGTATCCATTTTCTCCTGGTTTTCCCTTCCTATCCTGTGCATTCAAACTTGGCATCTGAACTTGTATCTCAACTGTTTAATTACATGTGTATTTTTTTTGTGTGTACCATGTCCATCACTATCACCTTGGTGTATATCTAGGCCTCAATCATATCCTGAAACCCTTTCTAGATTACTCTGTTCTGCAATTCGTTACAATCTTTGTCCTGGGTATCAGCTCTGCCTTTCTATCTATATGCCCTAATTTTATCTGTTTATTGATTGTGCTCCACCCTGTTGATTGTGTAATTTACCAGATTAACCCTGATTGTGCTCCTCTTCCTCGCCTGTGTATTTGATCTGCTTCTCAGGTCAGGGCCACAAAATGAAGAAATGGGCCCATGGGAATGTCACCCCCTACCTTACCCTGTTTCTTTCTTCAAAATCTTTTTTTTTGGCTGTACTTCTCTTTTGGGTCACAGGAGTAAATTTACTAATGTTCTGAACTCAGGGGATAGTGTGACAGTGAGGTGTGCTCATCAGTGAGCTTCTTCTTTCCTTGCTTAGTCACAGGCTGGGGGTGAAACAAGACCTAGTTGTATTGTTTAACCGCAGTACAGAAAAATTAGGTCTTCTGCCTGCCTGACGCGCAATGCGTAAGGAAGCACATTAAATGTGTTGGTGCAATACAGTGCAATTCTTCATGAATAGCACCCCAATGCACTTTCTGAAGAATGTTTGTTTTAGCACAGCGCAACACATGACAACACACTAATGTGTGTTGTGGTGCACTCTCAAAAAATAATGCATGCACTTGTCCTTGTCAGCGAACCATACAGCAATGCACGCTGCAAAGCGCATCTGTCAGCAGGCGCATTGGGATGCCTTTCATAATGAATGGCACCGTATTGAACAAATGGATTTAACATGCATTGCCCTTCAGTACCCCAAACAGATAGTTTGAATGGGCCCTAGAAGGGAGAACTGTGTTAGTTGTAGCTGATAAGATGATGTAACTATTTAATTACACAGCAAGCAGGATACGTTGCCTTTATAATTAAACACTTGTGTGTGCAACACTCGTCAAGGCTAACAGTGGTGCACAGTTTGTTAGCTGTGTACCTATTTTCCAAAAAACAATATAGTAACTCGGCAGTTCTCTGTGTGGATCAATGTTTTCTTCAATGTGCTAACAATCCTGGCAAGCTTTGATCTTGTACTGGAGCCAAGGACAAGGGAGGTTGGCGTCCCAAGCAGTAGCAGTACTTTGATTTGGATATGTGGAGGTCATGTCCATACTCCACTTATCTACAGGAAGCTCTCTTATGAGGAAGTTACTGACCCCAGATGGTATTGGGAGACAACTGCAAAGAACAAAGTGACTCTATTAGTTTATTCAAGATGGAGATGCAGCAAATGTCTGTTTTGTCCAGCAGCAGATGTTTTAGGAGAAAAGAGACAATTTTCTCCACTCAAGTACGACAAGTGTAATGTGTTAACACCATCTTCTACTGATTATCAGCATGACATGAAAAATGCCTTTTATAAGTTGCACAGGCTTTTAATCAAGCAGATAAAAGGGTTGGATGTAGCAATCTTTAAAGCAGAACTCTTGGGAATTTTTTTTAACCCTTGCAGTGGGGGCTACCCCTGCACTGGAAGTGTTAAGTACTTGTTTTTGTCTAGGTTAAAAAATAACTAAGTTATACTCCCCTTATCCTCAGAGCCGGTTTGCTCTTAGACCACTCCCTTTCCCCTCTGCTGCAGTGGTCCAAGGTCCAGTGAGTCATCATGTTCTATACACTGTGTAAAACCTTCAAACTCTCACATATTCTAGAAGTTCTCCTGAACACTTCCTAAATTATCACAAAGATAGCTCAGCTTCACATCCTCAAGTCAGCTAAGCACTTAAAAAAAAAATAGAATGATATAAAATGAATTTGGGTACAATGTTGCGTGACCGAGTAATTCTCAGCCAAACTATCAAACTAAATAATGGCCTGGTAATGGAGCGGGTGTAACATGTCGATCCTCAAATGGTTAAGCCACATTCCTCTGAACCTGGCCCTCTTTTGTCATTGCCTTTATAGTCCCACAACTACCATATGTGTATTGGAAAACAACCACCGAAATCAAAAAGAAAAACTAAGACAGATCAAGGTAAAAAACTGCACAACAAGATGTAAGAACAGCAAGTATCATCTAATACCTTGGTTATCAACTGGTGGGTCGTGACACATAAGTGGGTCTCGACCCCGTGTTCAGTGGGTCGCCGCATGCCTTCCACTTTTCTAGGTGAGAGGCTCCTCTGCCTCCCTCTAGCGCAGCACTGTCAGTTCTCGTGCCAAGCAGCCATTCAAAATATGCTGCCCGGCGCAGAGTTTCAGCTTGAGGTGGAATTGGATGGGGCTATGGTCGCGAGGGAGGTCCATCCATATGTGCATTGCTTACAGCTCCCTCACATGTTCTATAGAGGTGCCTGGACCAGAGTAACTATTCATTTGTATGGTACATCTCCCACCCACAGTTCCTATGCCCGCACCAAAACCTGCAGTACCCTAATGTTGTGCGTTCCATTGCAGTGCAACTTAGGTCGCAACTTAATGACCAAGTATAAATGTGGGTCCATGAGGTTACACGGGTTGAGAACCACTGATCTAATAGATACTTTGGGACAGGATCTCATACTAGTTAGCATAGGAATGTGCACAGAGCAGGAATCAAGGGCAGATTTCCCGTCACATTTCCTTTGCTGCATAGGACATCCTCCGTATTACTATATATATTGCTTGTTCTGCATCACCTTCCTCTAAATCAGAGCGGACTTTTGTTTTTATTCAGCAACTCGTCTGCAGTTTGAACACAAAAACATATTTGCTTTGAACCTCCCGGTAATTTAAACCATCTGAGTTTTGCTTTAGTACTTCAATTACAAGGCACTCAGCAATAAACTAGCACTGGCACACTACGCATTCTTATTAAAGTCCTAATGATTGTAAGCCCTCACGGGCAGGGCCCTCCTTACCATCTTGTCTTAAATTGTATTGTGACTGTAATGTCTTCCTTATATTGTAAAGCGCTGTGCAAACTATTGGCGCTATATAAATCCTGTATAATAATAATAATGAGAAAAAATAAATGATGTTGGCATACAGCCATGGCTTCAATTTATGTATTTCAAACAAATAAAAAAGGGAAAGCGCAGACTATAAAGAGATTTGAAACACTTTTAAAAATGTGGTAAGGAAAGATGTTTAAACATATTACTTAGAGTGGGGAAGGGTTATAAACTCTTTATTGTTTTCAGTGTCCCTGTTGGGTAGATTTCCCTTCACTTCATGTCCTGGTGACCAAACAGGAAGTGAGGAGATCCTCATTGTGGGACCATAGGCAGCAGTATAAAATGCCACAGCCACCCCCCTCTTTGGAAGGATGTGTTTTCACTATCTGTGCCTTCATTGGGTAGATGTTGATCAGTTCCTGTGTTGGTGACCATAGAGGAAGAGAGGGATTATTTTCCCAATGACTAGATAACCTGTAAGGTTCAGAAATATTTCCTTTCTCAATTATGCTGGTGTTGTGCTTTAAATTCATGGAAGCATGGAAGAAGTGTTTTTGTTCCACCTTTGTTTAGGAAATACTATAGTTGATATAGCCGATGCTAAAGTCACAATGTTTTTTTCATTGGGTTCAAAATAGGATTTACAGTATACATCTGTTGCAAAACAACTACAACACAAAATGTTGAAACAGCTATGCATAGACTTCTTTAGTGTGTGGGTAATTGTTCAGGAACAATATGAATCATGCTCAGGGCATGCTGTCTTTGCCGACTGCACTATTATTTGTATACTTAGCTTGGCTAAACAAGTGGTTTCAACCTAAGGGGTGGTGGAAGGGATGAGAGAAGGAAGCCAGTACTGACCTATCTAGGTGACAGATTTTCTAGCCTGTATAATAACTAATTCTACCCAACAGTGGCCATCTTTCTCAGAGATCGAACCCAGTAGAAAATGGCTACATCAGGGGACTTGACCAGTTAACTCAGCACATGAAAGGAATAAAAGGTTGACCATCCAGGAAGGAGATTTCGGCCAATTCCAAATCATCTACACTGTCACATTTATAAAGGGGTAAAATGTATGTATATATATATATATCAGTCAGACCACATACTCTATATATTTTGGCAAACAGATCATAGATTTAATAAACTTATTTTCTGGAGGTCAACAATGTAGGCCCAGGTTCAAAGCCTTTCATTCCCTAGTCATTCCTTAATTATAGTCCCAACATATACATTGACCATACCTTTCTGGGATGTATAATTATTCAATGGGCCTTCATTACTGGTGATGTCAAAATATATGATATGGCTACCACAACTGAAGCTTGCCAGTAAGAAAAAGTAGTGTGGAGCAGAGGCAGGTTGGGACGCTTTCTCCTTAAAGGAATCCA